CCTTGTCTTCCCTTCCCCTCCCCCTCCCCCTCCACCTCGCGAGATGGCGAGAGAGCAGGTGTCGACAGTGGACAACTTAGGTCAAATCAATACCAGCATGACGTCACCACCTTGCATCACAAGGTGGCTACACGTTCCCGTAGTAACGTGACGAAGACGTTTTGGGAACATCATGACCTACACCACCGTCTCATTTCCCCAATCTAGCATGTCGCTCCCGAGCGCCAGTCCTTCTCGCCCCGTGCCTAGGGTTGCTGTAGGCCTACGCGTGGCCTCATTTAACATACTATTCCAGGTACATACAAAGAGCCACATCACTTTCCAACAACCGTACCTGGATGTACCGGTGAGCAGCCTTCAGTATGGTCTGGTTAGAGATCTTTTTATCATCCATGGAGGGCAACTGGCGTCGCAGGGTCTCGAAGCATTCCTTGAGATGAGCGCGCCTATTCTTCTCCAGTTTATTGTGCACCTCGCGGGATGGGGTGCTCCTGGAACAGCGGGTAATTAAGGTCAGTTAATTAAGGTGTCAGTGTTGCGAAGCTGGAACTCCTATATCCATGTGATTTAATATAAACGTGAAGACAGAAAGACGCATCCTACGCGACCTACCCTGAGCGTTTCTTGTCGTCCTTATAGAGGTTCTCCTCTGCCGCGTACAGGCCATGATGCTGGAAGGTGCTGTGTGAGGGCGGGGAGAGCGAGAGGGACTTGGCGAGGCCGTTGGGCCGACTCACGCCGTTGGTCAGATGAGGATGGAGGGCGTCGTTGTGGGGCCGAGGAGCCGCGCCGGCATCGGAGGAGGTGGTGGACGTGGGCGGCGATGAGGAATCTTGACGGAGAGCACTCACCACGCCGAGGGGCGAGGCGGCGCTGGTGCGGGGGGTGATGGCGTGGGGCGGGGACGAGGCCGGGGAACCAGGGTACGAAAGCGACGCCCGCGGGGACGTCTGCTGCTGCTGGTTCTGGTGGGGATGTTGCTGCTGTTGCTGCTGCTGCTGCTGGTGATGCTGAAGATGGTGGTGATGATGCTGTTGCTGCCCCCCACCCACACTGATGCCCACGATGCCTAACGAAGTTCTCACACCCCCACCCACGACACCTGCACTAGGCGGCGTTAAGGTGTGAATCCGCCGCTGGTGGGCGAGGTCATCGCGGGCGTGGGCTGGACTGGAAGGGGCGGTGCGAGGTGTGGGTGGCGGTGACACAGGGGCCACACCGGCGTGGGCGTTTTGCTGCTGGTGATGGTGGCGAGGGTGGCTGCCCCCAGTGGTCACGCCCACAGAGCGAGTGAAGGGTTCGCCCGCCCGCCGGTACAGCACCTCTCGCTTCACTCCACCCTCGGCCACGGCCTCCTCGCTCGCCTCCTCATCTGTAATGGAACAAGGAATGCACATGAACGAGACCAGCCATAAACTCTCTATCTCTCTCTCTCTCTAAGTTACCTCATCCTTTTGAGATGTAATCTTCTGTCTCAATAAATTTGTCAAAGTAAAAAAAAAATCTCCCAGCCCATATAAATTCGAATGTTCCTTCATATGTGAGTGTAAACATATCCTGGAATTCTGCCGTTAGAAATTAACAGTACATGAACATGATCTGAATAATACCGCAGGCGAAAATGAATGAGTTGTTTTGCCTCATAAATGTTCCTGTGTCGGATAATAAACAATAAATGGACCCAGCCTGTAAACTGCAATTCGATACAGGTGTCTGTATGAGAGCACGTGGAGACAAGGCTTGTCTGCATGCATAATTATGCACCCTTGCGTGCGTGCGCTTCTACGTCAGCCACAGCACGCCAGGGTCCGAAGCGATCTGCCAGCTGTGACGGCGAAGTTGAAGTTCCTCTAATACCGTTACATGCAGGCAGCGTCCCCACGCACCGTCTCAAGGACAGTCGCCGGACTCCCTCCACCTCATCTCTCCCCCGCCCCGGCTCTACTCTCCTCCTGCACAAGTCAGGTGGCGAGGACCTCTAGCCTTGCACCTCATTCCTCGGAGGCGGGGCAAGAGGGGCATGGGGGTCAGGGGGAGGTGCTCTACCTCGAGAACCTCAGCTGGGTCTTGGAGCCTGTCAGGCTGCCCATCCTCCCACCCCACCCAGCCCACACACTGCTTGGATATGCTACAAGAACGCGTGACCTCCGCCGTGTTAGCAGAGGAGGAGCCTGGGGCGAAGGAGGGAGTGTCAGGGGAAGGGAGAGGGGGAGAGTCTGACGGAGTGGGGGGGATCCCACGTGTGGAGGGAGGGAGTGGGCGGAGCTCTGCGCGCGCACGTGGTGGCAGCACCACTTGTTTACGTAACAGGCACACGTGGCTGCTGCCATATGCGGCCCACATTTAAAGCAGAAGAGGTACCTTACGACCTGTCTTAGGCTTTCTCTCTCTCGGATGCACACCATTTTAAGCTTACGACCGTCGTATGTCACACTTACAGCCTCTCTTACCAGCTGCGGGTTTTACTTTAAAATGTGTACAAAACATCATTTAGGAAAGA